ATGTATATATAAATATGTATATACATAATTATTTATATATCCCAACATACACACTCAAAACAAACACTAATGCAAGTGCAAATAAAAAAGGACTTTTACATTTTTTATAATTTTAGTCACAATTATTAAAGTACTAATCATAGCTAAAATTTGTATTTGGGGAACTTATAGCTAATAAAATTATACACAAAGTTTGTCTAAGCAAAAATTTTGTACGAATTTTGCTTTTGCTACACAAAATTGCACTTTGAAACTCTAAAGGGTCCAAAATGGTCCGTCAAATAACTTTTTACCTTCCCGTAAAGTTAGTTAAGAAATCGTCCAAAAATCGAAAAGTTTTGCATATCTTCACGTTTCAGAGGTTTCTGAACATTTTGGCATGCCTTAGAAAAAATTGATATGTGTGTGTGTGTATTTGTGGATTTTTTGGGAGCGTCAATCAACCGATTTGAATGATTCCAAAAGCAATCGAATCCTGTTGATTAGGAGACGTGCTGATTAATTTTGGGAAAAAGTTGGTCCAGTCGTTTCGGAGATACGAAGCAGAGTGCATAGAAATCTTTGAGAGTACTTAGCATCGGATTTGAATGGTTCAAAAAACATTCAATTTGTAATGATGGGGAGAAGTGGTGATTCGTTTTTGGGAAAGACAGGTCCAGCTGTTATAGATATACAGAGCTTAAAATGGAAAAAAATGGCAGGAAACAAAGAATCCGATTCGAATGATTCAAAAAACCTTCTGCTTGTATCGACAAAATGATTTTTGGGAAAAGCAAAAGTTTACCATTCAATACACCACTATTAACTTTTCATTATTAACTTTTCGAAAAAAAAGTTTAAGGGGCTAATTATCCTAAAAAATTTAAATGTAACATAACGTTGCTATGGCAACCGTTGTTATTGTAACATTTCTATTTTATCGAAGAATTTACCCCTAAATCTCAATTCTTATTCATGATTTACACATTTTGGGAGATTTTTGAAAACTTGCATTAAGGCAAAATGCCACTTGCACCTGCATTAATTTAAATGCACTCAATTTTAAACCGATAAACATAATTCATGATTATATTTATATTATAAATTATATAATTTTATCTTACTCAATTTCCCTCAGCTCTCCTACTAAATCCTTCTTTCGTGTACCCAATAATTTGTTCAGGGAGATAATTCAAGATCGTTACGATTTTTTTTTTTTGGTTTTTCTCTTTATTTCTTCTCTTCGATATTTTTTCGTGCATTCTGTTGCGTGTTTAGCTCCCGGCTTTTGTAAAGGATATTTGACACGAAACGAAATGTAATAAAAAATAGTGGTGCATGGTATCGTGCCTAAAGGCATATTTCTGGAACTTTCCGTACCAATTTTTTTTTTTTAAAGATTAACATTTTTGAAAAAAATTTACTCTGAAAATTTAGATTTTTGAGAAACTATAAATTTTTGACAAAAATTTACTTTTTTTGTTGAAAAAAAGACTTTTTGGAGAAAAGTGTATTTTGAAATATTTTGGAAATTCTGAACTTTTTTTCAAAGCAATCGTACTGCTTTAACTGCATAGATAAGAAATGTAAAAGCGCGTAAGCGCCGCGTCACCGTCTAACGGATAAGCATTGGTACGGAACCCATAGGAATGTAAACAAAATTTATACTTATTGTTAAAATATAAAATATCTGATAATTCGATATGCATATGTCTAATGATCATTTTTGACCGCCAAATGGCATTTTTTTTTACTTTTTCTACTAGATCTCTGAGACCACTAGACCTGCCTTCATGAAAATTTGATCAGTTCTTCATCTTCTTAATACAAATAAAATGTTTTTTGAATTATTCAAATCGGATGCTCCGTTCTTTTAAAAACAGAGTTACCGTTTTAGCACTTTTTGTCCCATATATTCGGAACGACTAGACCTGCCTTCGCCAAAAACTATTCAGCACGTCTCCTTATCAATACGAATCGAATGTTTTTTGAATTATTCAAATCGCTTCATCTGTGTTCCCGAAATCGTCGACGAAAATTTGTATCCGAACACACATACACACACGCATAGACACACTTACACATACATACATTTTTTCTAAGGTATGCCAAAATATTCAGAAACCTCTGAAACGTAAAGATATATAATTTTTTTTTGCGATTACTATAACTAACCCTACGGGAAGTTAACTAGTGGTGTATGGTATCGTGCCTAAAGGCAAATTTCTGGAACTTTCTGTACCGAAATTTATTTTTTAACTTTCCGAAGGGTAAGGGTTTTGAAAATGAAATTTTTCTCTAAATATTAAAATAAACTCTAAAATAGCTATGCAGCATGATTGCTTTAAAAAAACGTTCATGATTTTCAAAAAAAATAAAAATATAAAAAGAAATTCAAATTTTTCAAAAAAGTCCATTTTCTTCAAAAATTCTCAAAAATCTATTTTTTTTTAAGTTTTGAAAAAAATTTAAAGTTTTTTAATAAATTTAGTTTTTCGACCGGGAAGTTTCAGCAATTTGCCTTAAGGCACTATGCCATACACTACTAGTTTAATTATATACTTCTACGAAACCTTATATTATTATCGTTTACAGTGTGAAATAATCCTTTAAATCAAATTAAGAAAAAAGGCGAAACGAAAGCAAATTTTTAAATTACTGGGTGTCTTCCATTCTGTATCCTTCTTCGTTTGTGCTGAATAGATTTTTATTTTTTTCTGTTGAATCTTGAGGGAAAAATAAGATTTTTTGACGTGTTCGTGATTGTAAAATGGTAATTATAATATATATAATAATAGTAATAATAAACGTTGTCTGCTCGAAAGCAGGTCCATGGTGTGAGAGCCATCACAAATAAATGATTTCCTTGCCTTTCGTCGTCTAACATTCCTATTACCACTATTCCTTCCCTTTTCTTTATATTTTTCTGTAAGTATTTTCCTTTCCGAACTTGTGCTTCCATGCTTCCTGATCCTGTGCTTCGTCTCTCAGTTCCCTGTATTTTCTTTTCTTGCCTAAGTCGCCAATCATCTGCATCTTCTTCCTTCCAATCCTTTCAGTCCTTCTATTTCATCCTCGACGACGTCGTGCAGGAGGCACTAATTTTGCAGAAGGGGTCCGACCCAGTTTCCTTTTCCTTACAGGCTTAGTAGAGTCCTTTCTTCGTCTACTTTATCTTCTCCAGCACCACATTTCAAAATTCTCCAGGCAGTTCTTGTCAGCCTTTCTTAGAGTCCACATCTCTGATCCGAACAGAGCTATGCTCCAGACTTAGCACTTTATTAGTCTTATATATAAAAAGACTTCTTAAGCTAGAAAGGGTCTTATGCAGCATAGGGATGTTTTAAAATGCAGGGAGCTTTTTAAAGTGGCGTATTAAGCGAGATATCGTTTAAAACATAATTTTCTTAACGCGGTTCTCCTGTCCATTAATAATAATATATATAATGTACCTAACTGGTACAAGAACTGTTGACACTGATGATGACACAAAATTTGATGTAACTTATGGAGTAAAATCTGGTTTGATGTTATACATACTTACATATATATATATATATATATATATATATATATATATATATATATACATAAATTTATATAAAAGATTCTAGATGCACATGTGCATTTATGCAGCTTGCACATAAATTTTAATGATGGGAACTTTTTGAGCAATATCTAACAAAGCGTGACTTGATATATACTTGTATACATACATACATATATACATATTATACATACATACATACACATATATCATAAATTTCTTTTATATTCAAATATAACATTTATATAATTTTGTATTGAATAAATAAAACAGTTGTATTTATTTTTTACAGATCCTGCAGCACATTTTTTCACCATGAAACTTTTTTTCAAACAAAAATCTTAATCAAGCAAAAACATGAAGGAGAAGAAAATATTTGAGGTCAGTTTAGTTATATTTCTATATATGTATATTTATATACTCAAAATTATATTTAAAAAAAAAATAGTTGTATGTGATTAAATATTATGTTATATTATAAGTCTTAAACAACAACACATATTAATAATTTACTAAACCATGGTAAAGGTTTGTGCCGACACCAGAAATCCATAAATCTAGACCTTTCTTTAATTAAGATTTGCCACAACTGCATTGGTCGTAACAAAAAACTGTTGCTCATATTTTTGTAAATTTAACAATAACTTTTGAGTTGACTAGCTATTTTTAGATGTCTACTGTTAGTGGATAATGCTCTGGTAAGGTTGATGATCAAGGTCCTAAAATTCTCTTGAATCTGTTAGCCATTTTTAGATGTCTATTTACTACTACTGGACATCGCCTTGGTAAAGTTGATAACCAAGATCCAGTGGCCAGGATAATGTCCTGGTAAAGTTGATGATCAAGGTCCTAAAATTCTCTTGGTTGGTTAGTCATTTTTAGATGTCTATTTACTGCTAGTGGACATCGCCCTGGTAAAGTTGATAATCAAGATCCTAAAATTCTCTTGAGTTGGTTAGCTATTTAGTTGATGATTAAGGTTCTAAAATTCTCTTGAGTTGGTTAGCCATTTTTAGATATCTATTTACTGCTAGTGTACATCGCTCTGGTAAATTTGATGATCAAGGTCCTAAAATTCTCTTGAGTTGGTTAGCAATTTTTAGATGTCTATTAACTGCTAGTGGACATTGCCCTGGTAAAGTTGATGATCAAGGTCCTAAAATTCTCTTGAGTTGGTTAGCCATTTTTCAGATGTATATTTACTACTAGTGGACATTGTCCTGGTAAAGTTGATGATCAAGGATCCAAAATTTCTAAACCAATACTAAAACTCGTACATGACATCCAAAGTGCTTGATTTTACCATTTGTTCTAAAGAAGTAAGTAGACATCTTTGAATCTGCACCTTGTAACAAATATTTACTGCAAATGCGTTAGATGAGATAAAATATGTATTTAAGGATACTTATGTTCTTGTCAGTTTTTAAGTGGCCACTATAGTTGGATTTCGAAGGCTCGGTCTTTTCATCATCATTTATTCATCATCGTCATCAATGGTGATAACATCAGGATTGACAACCGCCTTCATTTGCAAAGTATGAAACATCATATGTTTGTCATATTTATAAATCGAAGTAAACGTTCTATTACAAATTTGACATTTGTGATTAATTTGTTCATTATGAGTTTGCATATGGCACTCGAAGTACATGACGTTGGTGAATGTCTTCAGACAAACGTGACAAGTGTATTGTTTCGGATCAGTTGAAGAAGTTTGCAGAATTTCTGTGGATGAGGTGCAGTTTCCTTGCTGGTTTAGGATTTTTATATGTTCCTTGAACTCTTCGTCCTCTACAAAAAGCGTCTTGCAACGTTGGCATTCAAAGTACTTTCTTTTTTTTACGTTACTTTTATTGTTAGGTGTACGTTTGCGCTTTTTCGGTGGCGCGGAAGTGGTTGATATGGAAATTACGGATTGGGTATTATCGTTGTCAACAGAATAGTTAACATTCTGGTTTAAATTCGTAACATTGGTTTCAATGGTGACGGTTAAATGATTTGTCTGTCTACTTGAGCCTGAAGACCGGATATTGAAGAAGCTTATTTGATTATTTTGTCCAACGTTTTCAATAGATATCGAATTATCGACTTCTCTCGTCTGGCTAACACTAGAACTTCTAGATCTACAATTTTCTGGTTGATAGCACTGACTGATACTTGATAACGTTTGATTATTGGTTGAAGGCAGGTTGTTCAAACAGTTTGTTTCATTAATTTGTCCAGCGTCTTCAATAGGTATCAAATTTTCGACATCTATCGGCTGATCAACACTAGAACTTCTGGATCTACAATTTTCTGGTTGATTACATTGACTGGTACTTAATAACGTATTTGTTGAAGGCAGGTTGTTGCAACAGTTTGTTTGATGTCCAGCGTCTTCAATAGATATAAAATTTTCGACATCTATTGGCTGATCTATACTAACGACATCTATCGGCTGATCAACACTAGAACTTCTAGATCTACAATTTTCTGGTTGACAATACTGACTGGTACTTGATAACGTCTGATTATTTGTTGAAGCCAGATTGTTGAAATAGTTTGTTTGATTAACTTGTCCAGCGTTTTCAATAGATATCGAATTTTCGAAGTCAGTATTATCATGGTTTATATTATCAAAAATTCTTGCTTGGTTTTGCTCGGTAGGACTAATAACTGCATTGCTGTCAAATCTATCTATTTTCTGCCTTGCCTGGCTGTCCAAAGTTTGTGACATTGCAAAGTTTGATGCGTTAAAACCAAGATCCTCACTTTGTTGATTCTGAAGGAATTCGTTGCGCGAGCTTCCTGAGTTTTGAGCACTGCGTTTTTGGTTTTCCAAAGTTTTCCTTTGTTCTGAACCATTTTTACTTTCATTGATATTGTTTTCCCCATTGCTTTAAAATTTTACACATTTCGCTCATATCAGAAGTTGATATGTCATCCTTTAATATAAATAAAATTTCTAGTAAATCCTTAATAGTTTCTTTATCCATACTAGTTGCTGAAAACAGCGATTTGATAGCATCAAAAACATGTTTAAATATTGGATTTGATCCAAGATGTGGATTTGGAGTGTGAAAAGCAGCAGTAATTAAATCATACATTTTGCTATATACTTGATCAGTATATCTAAAGTAATTTCTTGAAATTTCAAGCTGATTTTCCTGGTTGTCTGCACTCTGATAACCAATTGAAAAATTACTGCTGACAGTTCTTGTTATTTCACTAGAATAATTTTGGGATACTTGTAAAATATTACGATTTTCAATATCTTGATCAATTGATGAATTTTGGTTTGGTAATTGTGGTAAAAGCAGTTGTCTATGAAGTAAAAGAGTGATTGCATTTGGTCTACTCATATATTTGCCAGAAGTTTCATTCTTGAAGATTATACGATCGTTCAGAAATATAAGCTCCTTTATCAGGAATTTTCTGACCTCCTCTTTTGTCCATTTGGTACGTTTTATGAACCGGAACCTAATAACGAGCATTCTTATTGCGAAATGCAAGATTCTAACCGATATTGGCAAACGAGCTAGATTAGATATCTTGTTCTCATTGGTTGATAGATTTTTCTTGACAATCCTACTAAGCAGGTTGTTGAAATAGTTTGTTCGATAAACTTGTCCAGTGTTTTCAATAGATATCCAATTTTTGACTTCCATGGGCTGGTCAAGACTAGAACTTCTAGATCTACAATTTTCTCGTTGATTGCATTGACTGGTACTTGATAACGTCTGATTATTTGTTGAAAGCAGGTCATTGAAGCAGTTCGTTTGATTAACTTGTCTATAGATTTCAATAGATATTAAATTTTCGACATCTATGGGCTGGTCAACACTACATCTTCTAGATCTACAATTTTCTGATTGATTGCATTGACTGGTACTTGGTAACGTATGATTATTTGTTGAAGGCAGGTCGTTAAAACAGTTTGTTTGAGTAACTTGTCCAGTGCTTTCAATAGATATTGAATTTTCGACATCTATGGGCTGGTCAACACTACATCTTCTAGATCTACAATTTTCTGGTTGATTGCGCTGACTGGTACTTGATAACATTTGATCATTTGTTGAAGACAGGCCGTTAAAACAATTTGTTTGATTAATTTGTCCAGTGTTGTCAACAGATATCAAATTTTCGACATCTATCGGCTGGTCAAGACTAGAACTTCTAGATCTACAATTTTCTGGTTGATAGCATTGACTGGTACTTAACGTCTGATTAATTATCGAAAGTGGGTCGTTAAAGCAGTTAGTTTGATTAACTTGTTCATCGTTTTCAATAGATATTAAATTTTCGACATCTATGGGCTGGTCAACACTACATCTCCTAGATCTACAATTTTCTGGTTGATAACATTGACTGGTACTTGGTAACGTATGATTATTTGTTGAAGACAGGTCGTTAAAACTGTTTGTTTGATTAAGCTGTCCAGCGTTTTCAATAGATATCAAATTTTCGACATCTATCGGCTCGTCAAGACTAGAACTTCTAGATCTACAATTTTCTGGTTGGTAGCACTGACTGGTACTAGATAACGTCTGATTATTTGTCGAAAGTAGGTCGTTGAAACAGTTTGTTTGATTAACTTGTCCAGTGTTGTCAACAGATATCAAATTTTGAACATCTATCGGCTGGTCAAGACTAGAACTTCTAGATCTACAACTTTCTGGTTGATAGCATTGACTGGTACTTAACGTCTGATTAATTGTCGAAAGTGGGTCGTTAAAACAGTTCGTTTGATTAATTTGTTCATCGATTTCAATAGATATTAAATTTTCGACATCTATGGGCTGGTCAACACTACATCTCCTAGATCTACAATTTTCTGGTTGATAGCATTGACTGGTACTTGGTAACGTATGATTATTTGTTGAAGACAGGTCGTTAAAACTGTTTGTTTGATTAAGCTGTCCAGCGTTTTCAACAGATATCAAATTTTCGACATCTATCGGCTCGTCGAGACTAGAACTTCTAGATCTACAATTTTCTGGTTGATAGCATTGACTGGTATTTGGTAACGTTTGATTATTTGTTGAAGGCAGGTCGTTGAAACAGTTTGTTGGATTAACTTGTCCAGTGTTTTCAACAGATGTCAAATTTTTGACATCTATCGGCTGGTCAAGACTAGAACTTCTAGATCTACAATTTTCTGATTGATTGCATTGACTGGTACTTGGTAACGTCTGATTATTTGTCGAAAGCAGGTCGTTGAAACAGTTTGTTTGATTAACTTGTCCAGTGTTTTCAACAGATATCAAATTTTCGACATCTATCGGCTCGTCGAGACTAGAACTTCTAGATCTACAATTTTCTGGTTGATTGCATTGACGTGTACTCGGTAACGTCTGATTATTGGTTGAAAGCAGGTCGTTAAAACAGTTTAGTTGATCAACTTGCCCAGTGTTTTCAATAGATATCACCTTTTCGACATCTATCGGCTGATCAACACTAGAACATCTAGATCTAAAGTTTTCTGGTCGATAGCACGCACTGGTACTTGATAACATCTGATTATTTGTAGAAGGCAGGTCGTTAAAACATTTTGTTTGATTAACTTGTCCAGCGTTTTCAATAGATATCAAATTTTCGACTTCTGTGGGCTGGTCAACAATAGAACTTCTAGATCTACAATTTTCTGGTTGATAGCATTGACTGGTTCTTGGCAACGTCCGACTACTCGTTGAAGGCTGGATGTTGACAAGGTTTGGTTTATCAACTTGTCTAGCGTTTTCAATAGATATCAAATTTTCGACTTCCATGGGTTGGTCAAGGGTAGAACTTCCAGATCTACAATTTTCTGGTTGATAGCGTTGACTGGTACTTGGTAACATCTGATTATTTGTCGAAAGTAGGTCGTTGAAACAGTGTGTTTGATTAACTTGTCCAGTGTTTTCAACAGATATCAAATTTTCGACATCTATCGGCTGGTCAAGACTAGAACTTCTAGATCTACAATTTTCTGGTTGATAGCATGGACTAGTACTTGGTAACGTATGACTACTTGATAAAGGCTGGACGTTGAAAAAGTTTGGTTCATCAACTTTCCTGGTGTTATCAATTGTCAGCTTTTCGACTTTTTGCGACTGGCCAACACTAGAACTTTCATATTCACAATATTCTGGTTGATAGCAGTGACTGGTGCTTGATAACTTATGATTGTTTTTTGAAGGCAGGTTGTTAAAACAGTTTGTTTGATTAACTTGTCCAGCGTTTTCAATAGATATCAAATTTTCGACTTCAATGGGCTGGTCAAGAGTAGAACTTCTAGATCTACAATTTTCTGGTTGATAGCACTGACTGGTTCTTGATAACATCTGATCACTTCTTGAAGGCTGGTCGTTGAAACAGTTTGTTTGATCAACTTGTCTAGTGTTTCTCAAAATTTTGACTTCTTGAAATTGACCAACACGAGAATGCCTGACTAGTGAGCCCTGATTGGATTTGTAATCTTTGTTAATTAATTTCTCAAGGCTGATGACTGAAATTCGTGGTTTTCGTTTCTGCGGTGGCGGATCCACATTTGGTATCAAATTCTTATCAGAAACCAATTTTTGTTCTGTAGAATTTTGTATATTTGGTGCTTCTGTTATGGTATTGATACTTGGTATATTAACCATTGGCATTAAGTTGGGAGTTGGCATCAGAATTGGCTGTCTATTTGGTGCATTAGACACAATTTTTAAATGATTACCAATAGGAATAATTCGTTTATGTCTTAAATGCTTCGATTTATTTAAATTTGACAATCTTGCGCGATGTCGTTTATGATTTACCAATAACAGTTGTTTCTGGATTTCTGCATTGGTTAAAATTTTCGCATTGGATGAATCTATCATGTACGGATTATTATCTTGGGTCAAGTTGACATTGTGTGGGACGGATTGATGTTCTTGTTCAGTAGATGCACAAGGTGCATTAAATTGTTCATTTGAATCCTGATTGTTTGCAATGGGAATAATTCTAGTTCGAATTTCATGGTTTTTATGGTTCAAATTTATTGGTGTTGTGTAAACTTGATTGTGATTTGCCATAAAGGGTTGTTCCTGGATTTCTAGTTTTGATGAATCTTGTAAATTAGAGGAATACGTCGTGTTCTGACTTTTTGGAATTGATTTGTCAGGGGATTCACAAGGTGTATTAGATGGTTCGTCTAAATTTTGGTTTATGTATTTTCCACGTGATACAAAATTTAGTTTGATATATTTTTGTGCTGAGTTATCATTTTGTTCATTTCCAACATCTTGATCATCTATAGATGAATTGTCATCATCCATCATGTGAGCATTCAAATTGTTAGATTCTGGTGGATTTTTTATACAATTCTTTGCTTCCCAATATTGCACAGATATAGCTGCAGATGAAGTTGGATAATGCCTTGCACTAATCACATATTTTTTAGCACGAAAAGCAGTCGTCGAATTATTATTGATTTTATTTGTACCAGATGTTGATGTGGATGCAGATATTTTTTCAGTTTTCTTGTTCGATAAGACATTGTAAAACAAATTCAAATCAGGTGATTTTTGCAGAACGTTGTTTGGTTTAGGCGGCGTTAAATTTGTGCCAGAGATCTGGTCTCTAGCATAGTCTGGATTGCTCCAAAAAGAAGGATTATGCAGAGTCACAAATTTACTTGTGAAACTTCCTATATAATGATTCTCCTTATTTTGTACAACATCAATTTCCTTTTCCTCTGATTTTCCTCTATCGATAGTTTCAATTACCATT